TATATATATATACATACTCCTGTTTATATGGTTTAGGCTGTTGGAGTATGTAAAATATGTCAGAAGCTGAAGAACATGTGTAGGTAAAGAAGATGAAATCAAGCGGAGAAGTCATTGCTATCTAAGAAAAATACTACAGAAGATGCTCTTGGTTATGGACATATAGAAGTGCTCTGTGTTTAGACGTGCCATTTATTATTATGTGTCAATTATCTAAAATAAAAATAGAAACAATAAGTTATTCAAAATATAAAACATATGAAATATGCAAAGAACCTTCAAGTTCCTTCAGTCATTCTCAGGGCCTCAGCATATTTCTCTGCATCAGTGTGTGATAGCTGTTTGGACTTTGCTAGCACATTCAAGCTGGTAGTGATACTACAGTGCCACAGTTTTCAACTGAGTGTACTTCATTCTAACAGGTGCCAATGATGCACTGATTTGTCAGCTGTCTATGAAAAATAAAAGAGAAAATATATTTGATTTTTATCCATCTATCCATATTTTTCCGCTTATCTGGGGTTGGCTCACAGGAGCAGCAGCCTAAGCAGAGAAACCCAGACTTCCCACTCCCCAGCCACTTGGGCCAGCTCCTCTGGGGGAATCCCAAGGCTTTCCCAGGCCAGCTGAGAAACATAGTCCCTTTGGGTGTATGCTGAGTTATCTTCTGGGTCCCCTCATAGTGGCACGTGCCTAGAACACCTCACAAGGGAGGTGTCCAGGAGGCATCCTTACCAGATACCCGAGCCACCTCAACTGGCTCCTCTCGATGTGGAGGAACAGTGGCTCTACTCTGAGTCCCTCTGAGATGACAGAGCTTGTCACCCTATCTATAAAAGAGGAGTCCAGACACCATGTGGAGGAAACTCATTTTGGCTGCTTGTATCCATGATCTTGTTTTTTTCTGTCACTATCCATAGCTTGTGACAGTAGGTGAGGGTAGGAACAAAGATCAACCGGTAAACTGAGAACTCTGCCTTTTGGCTCAGCTCTCGCTTCATCATGATAGATCAGTATAGCGCCCATATCACTGCAGATGCAGCAACAATCCATTTATCGATCTCCCACTCCATTTTTCCCTCTTTCATGAACAAAATCCCAAAATACTTCAACTGTTCCACTTGGGGCAGGACCTCTTCCCAGACCCGGAGGAGGCATTTTGCCCTTTTCTGGTTCAAGACCATGGTCACAGATTTGGAGGCACTGATTCTCATCCTAGTCGCTTCACACTCGGCTGCAAACAGCTCCAGCGAAAGGTGATTCTGTTGTGGGAGACTAATTGTGCTGGCAAATATAAGTAGACCTAAAGCAATGCAATGACTTCTTTCCCAACAAAACTCAGACATAATTAAAGGGAAACTTCATGTGGCAAAAAAGTTGATTCAAAAGAACTAAGAGGTAAATTTGTGTCTGTGTCTGTGCATTATTGTCTGTTTGTGTGTGCTTGGAACTAAATTAGTCTGCAAACTCTCCTCCAGGTTCAAGTTATGACAGTATACTGTATGTTTTAGAGACTCCTTGAGGTCATAGACAGTGGTGCTGTCATTTCATGGACCTGCTCTGCAAATGACACATTCCACTAATTTACCATCCCCGGCATGGTTCATATTTAATGCTGACTGTTCCAAAACATGATGACTGGTAGCGGTTGTTTTATATACAGCTGTTGGAGGCTTGAGCTGTGTAGCCATCATGTCAAAACACATACAGGTCAAGACACTAATAGGCCAAGACTAATAGTGCCTTTTCCCGTTCCTGAAGCTAGCAACAAGATTACAATTGCCATCACACATTCCTGTTGCTGCTAATATTTTCTCTTCAGCTATTGAATGGCATGCACCTTCATCTACTACTAAGTTACTGCAACTGACTGACCGTTGCACCCTCACGCCATTCTTTAGTTAGAAACGACGGATCTAATTGGATGATAGCGCCAGCCATTACTTTGCCTTAGCTACTGCCTGATGTTTCTTGGCCTCTGTGAATCCCCTCACAACTCAGCCGGTGCTTAGTGTGGCAGGTCAGCAAAATGCTGGAGCAGCATTTGGCCTGAGAACAGAGGAGTGGATGGTGTGAGAGAGCAGACCGGTGGAAGCAGATCAATGTGGCCTGTATTCATTAACCCTCACTCACGGCTCTCTTCCCTCCCCAATCACCACCCCGCCATTTTAGGACAGCAGGAGGTGATTTATTAGCTGTCCTGGCTCAGTCAGCACCATCGACCAACAATCTGAGGAGAGTTGACTCACACCAGGATTTACAATTCCTAC